GCAGTGGTGCAAGTGCAGTTACTTAAATTTCATAGAAAGTGTTTAAAAGGGATATGCACCGTAGCATTTAGAATCCTGATCCGAGACTAATGGAGGTTAGGCAGTGAGTTTTAGTTGATTCCTACACAATGGTGCTTACTACATACCAGGCCCTGTTCTAAACACTTTGTAGTTACTTAAATTTCATAGAAAATGTTTAAATGGGATATACCCTGTAGCATTTAGAATCCTGATCCAGGACTAATGGAGGTTAGACAGTGAGTTTTAGCTGATTCCTATACAATGGTGCTTACTACAATACATACCAGGCCCTGTTCTAAGCACTTTGCATATATTAACTCACTTAATCTCAAGACAACCTTAGGCACTAATACTCTTAAATGCCTTGTTATTCCCCATCCCATTTTAAGAGATTATTATAACCCTGTTTTACATGCCCCGTCTGTAGCACAGTGAAACTAAATGGCCTGCCCCAAATTCCACAGCTGTTAAAGTGCAAAGCCAAGGAATTGATCTGAGGTGAAGAAAAGTGCACTTTGAAGCCTAAAGCCTTAAAAAGGAAATTAAGGGCTCAGACAAATGCCAGATTTATGAATAAGCAATAAATAATGGAAAATAAACTTGACCTGTTGAGCTGGCAGAGACACATTTGAACCCAGGCAATCTGGCGACAGAGATCGCTTTCTTAGCTGCTATACTGCACTACCACTTTAAATACATGGCAATGCGAAGGCTAAAGCAAAGACATCCTGTTCAACTGACTGGGAACATGCAAGCATCCTGAGTCTGGGGACTGTTATAGTCCTTTGTACCCCTCAGTGCTGAGCAACCATGACATACTTGACAACACATATAGATGGATGATAATTTTCCCCAAATATTTATATACATGCAGCAAACAGTGCTAGCTCCACTGGGCCTTAGCCACAGTGACATTTATGTGGCACACAAAGCAATTATTACCAAAGACTCATGGGTATTACTAGAAGCCAATATATAATGTTTGGAGATTTTATCATCGTTTGCCATAAACTAATTTTTTATTCATATTTTCCTGATTACCAAAATAACACATACTCATCAGAAAAATTCAAATATAGAAATGACTGCTAAAATACACAAACTGTTCAAACGTTACGGTGAAACACGCATAGCATTAGGACAATGGTTCAGAATAAATTGAGAGTCCCAGCATTTGATAGGCTTTGAAAGGACTTAACTTTAAGAAGTCTCTCCCTTTTTAAGGGTTAATTTTCAGGGGAGGGGGATCTTACCTGATAGCCAGGTGTATATAATAACTTTTAAGCTGTCTGTAAATGTGTCTTAGTAGAGAAATCTAATGGCATCTATGTATAAGAAGGTGAGACAGTGCATTGTTTCTTTAGGCATGAACTAAATTTATATAAATGCTCAGATAAGTCCCTTGGAGTGGCTTTGATGTCAGGCCAGAGTGAGGACCAGTTGGATCTGAAAGTATACGTCTAATCCCAACTATCTGCATTTTGAGATGAAGTGTGAGGGTAAGGCTCCTGCTTTCAGGATCTTTTCTTTCTTCTCTAGTCATATTTCCTCCTCAAATCATGTCCCACAGAAGGTTCCAGCCAGCTCAGTAAAAGCTATCTAGTCCTACTCTAACTGACACAGTGAAGACGGCACCAGAAGCCTCATCAAAGACCGTGGGAGACTTCCGGCTTTACCACTTACTAACTGGGGAGCAGCTTAAACTGAGGGTATACCTCCACGTGCTCATTCGTCTATGAGCGTAGTGCTACTGCCCTATCTCTTTCATGGGGTCATCAGGAGACTATGATAAAGTCAAGAATATGACAAAGCTTTGTAACTGCTTCCTGCAGTGCATGCGGGTTAGAGGGTGAGGTGCTAATTCCTCACGGCTCGAATGTTTGCCTTGATTGAGAAGGATTGATCTGAGGTGGAGAAAAGTGCACTTTGAAGCCCAATGTCTTAAAAGGGAAACTAATGGTTCAGACAAATGCCAGATTTATTAATAAGCCATAAATAATGGAAAATGAACCTGACTTATTGAGCTGGCAGAGGGACATTTGGGTTTCAGATATTCCCTACTCCATCTCTCCTTGAAAGACAGAAAGGAAAGAAGGAAGGGATAAAAGAAGGAAGGAAGGAAGGAAGAAAGGAAGAAAAACATTGCACCATAAAGAAGAGCATAATTCAAAAGGAGAACATAACTTGGGGCCAAAGGCACTCAGTGAGAAAATACTTGTCCAGTTTCTCTTGCTAGCCTGAGCTCCTCTAAGGTGGGACTAGATCTTATTCACCTTTGTAGGTCCTACTCCTTGTAAAGCACGTGTCACATCCTAGAAACTATTTAAGATGAACCATAGGGCATTGCCATTTTTGTAGATTAAAAACAGCCTAACATTGGCAATGCCATATGTGTCAACCTAGTAAGTGTTAGCTAAAGATGCAAGAGACCTAAGGGTTATTTTCATTTAGCCAGCCCTAACCCCATGTTCCCTCATTACCTCTTTCCACCTCCAGCACCAGCTCAGAGGTGGGACTTCTCTTTCACAGCCTGTAAGAGTCGTGCCTCTCTTTAAAGGCTGCCCTTGGTGTTCCCTGAACCTGAAAATGTATTGAGTGTGTGCTGTACCAGTCTCTCTCTCTTAGGGTCTCCATACTGCTAAAGAAAGGGCCTCATTATGACCCATATTTAAATTTCCATTTCATCTGATAAACGTTAATAGGCTCAAGTAAACAAAATGGGTGTCCTACACTAGGATGTCAAACAGACTGTTTTATTTCCTTTTTCTCTTCCCTTCCCTCCTTCTTCTCCCTTCCCTTTCTCTCTCCTCTCATCTTCCTTTCTTTTTCTTTCTCCCTCCCTCCTTTCCTCTCTCCTTTCTTCCTTCCTTCAAGACATGGAGACATTTTTTCCCCCATTCTATGCAGGTGAGCCTGAGGGAAAGCACAGGCTTTTAGGCTGGAGAGGAGACAGCTGAATGAATTGGGCAGGTGAAGCTTATGTCTGGGTTCCTTGAGAGGACACCTGAGTCCTACATCCTTCCTACAGCTCTCCTGATGCTAAGCATTAGACAGAGGCCATTGAATTGGATGTATATTAATGTAGTGGATTTAAATTGAGATCATGAACTTCCATTTCTCCTTTCATATATTTGTTTATTTTTGCCTGACAAGTGAGGTTTGGCAGTGTTGGGCTCTGTGATAAAATTGCGTGGTATTGATTTTGTAAACAGCCATCTTTGCATCATATCATGTCATTGACATGAAGAGTAGTATCGCAAACACTGTTTTCTTTTATTATAATAACTGTGTACAGAAGCCTTCAAAGGTATGATTTTGTAGAATACATCTGGCCATTGGGTTCCCTTTGCTACAAAACAAGCAACAGGAGAGAAAGGGGTCTGGTGGAGGCAGAGTGACAACCGTGTGGACACATTGGAAATCAGGCTCAGTCAAAGGACAGGCACTTTTGTCTCCTTTGTTCCCTGCTCCATCCTAGGGCCCAGAGCAGAGCTGGGGATGAGGTACGACTAGAGAACAGGTTAAAGTTGACAGAATGACTATGACACTTACATCTCTTGCATCTGTGTCTAGAACCAGTCAGATACATATCAGGTAGGTTGAGGAACGGCTGTTGAAAGGATGAAGAGTCACTGCAATTCAACTATTAAGTAGATTTCCTTCTAATTGCATAACTGAGCAGCTCACTAGGCATATATGCCCTCCAAGACCGTTTCCTCATTTCCGAAATGGGGATTATTGTGCCCATTTGGCAGGATTATTGAGAGGATTCAATGAATAGTGATGTGAATGCGAGTGCCTTTTCTTTCCATGCTCTTCTAGTTTCCTTAAAATACATCTGTGTGTATGTGAGAGAGAGAGAGAGAGGGTGCGTGTGTGTGTGTGTGCACGAATGTGTGTGCTTGCTTGTGTGTGTGTGACTGTTTCTGTCTGTCGGGGTGAGGGAGGCTAGAAGAAACAAGTTGCTTGGGTCATGTTGTTCTGGGTTTCTCACCCCCCCACTATGCCACCGTAGGCTGGAAAATTCTTTGTTGTGGGGGGCTGCCCCATGCAGTAGATGTTTGGAAGAATCTCTGCCTTTTACCCACTAGATACCAGTTACATCCCCCAGTTGTGACAACCAAACATGTCTCTAGATACTGCCAAATGTTCCCTGGGAGACAAAATTGTTCCCTGTTAAGAACAACTGCTGTTAGCTATAATCACCCATTGAATAATTAAATACTTCACTGACAAGTTGGTCAGGTACTTTGAAGACATCGCCTGTGGCTATATTATGCTTAAATGTATATAATAAAGTGAGGGCTTATATAGAAGAAAAAGCTGATATCAAATTAAAGTATATAGTCAATCCATAATGATCCATGAAGTGAGTGATGATATAGATAATAAAAGAAGTTATTTCAGGCACACAATTTCCCTGCATTAGATTGCTTTTCTCATTATGGTTGGTTTAGGATAAAAATATTAATAATAATCAATTTCGGGCCAGGCGCGGTGGCTCAAGCCTGTAATCCCAGCACTTTGGGAGGCCGAGACGGGTGGATCACGAGGTCAAGAGATCGAGACCATCCTGGTCAACATGGTGAAACCCCATCTCTACTAAAAATACAAAAAAATCAGCTGGGCGTGGTGGCACATGCCTGTAATCCCAGCTACTCAGGAGGCTGAGGCAGGAGAATTGCTTGAACCCAGGCGGAGTTTGCGGTGAGCCAAGATCGCGCCATTGCACTCCAGCCTGGGTAACAAGAGCAAAACTCCGTTCCCCCCCCCCCAAAAAAAAATAATTATTATAATAATCAATTTCTTGAACACCCTCTGACAGGTGTCAGGGAAAGATGGCAAGTGTGCATGGAGAGAAATCATTTGGGTTTCTTAAATTTTTATGGCCACTCATAAAGTAGGTGCATTAACCACGGATGATCAAACTGCATTATCCATTAGCAAGCTTAAAAAGTAATAGCAACATTCATACTTACAAGTGAATTAATGACTTTAGTCCCCGGAAAGTATGTCTTGAAATTGACTTGATGTTGTTGTTTTCTATGAATCTGCAATAAGTTATAATATTTTTTGTCAAACAGTTACAGGGACTTGAGAGTACTTGTCCTGAATCATGTTTAAAAAAAGCTTTTTTACTTACAAATACTCTAGATGTGGAAGACCAATAAAAGCATCATCACTGATCACATCAAAGGAGTTCGATGTGAATAACCTGCCCAGAAAAAGTACACAATGAAAATGGTTAAACTGACAGATTGTCAATCTTTGCTGCTTTTATCTCTCAGAAAAATGAGTGGGAATTGTATGCAGAAAAACGTCTGCGTGGCTGTCTGCTACAGTGTTAGTTATACAGATAATCTATGCAGCTTTTTTTTTTTTACTCCTAATGATCTCTTTATCAAAGGCTCATCAAGGGGTGCCTGGTGCCCCACTCCTCACAATGACTGCCACATGCCTGGGTGACATTTTGAGATACAATCAGAGCAGGTATGCTAGCCGAAGCAGCCAAAGCCACATTTTACATATTGTCATGACAAAGGCACTAACAATCTTTTCTGCTTGTTCTAGAAACCTCTGGAGTATTCTGACTGGCAAAAACAATGGTGCTTTGGGGGTTTTGGCCTGGGAAACCTAAAAAAATTAAGTTGCATGCCCAGTCGTGCTGAGCTATCTCGTAACAGACAGGCTATTAACACTGGCTCCATGAACATCAACCAACCTCCTCCTTTGCAAACAGACTGAAAATGGGAAACATGAGGTTTGGGAAGAATCTTAGACCCATTTTATTACCGAATAGTTGAAGAAATCGCTTTTACTTGGACAAATTTATTTGCAATTTCAAAATCCACAAGGATTTGGTTTCGAAATTACTGATGAAAAAGAACATCAATCAGCCATCCCACACCCTGTTGGACTCCTTAGAGAACTGAATTACAGGCTTAAAAGAGAGAGTTTTAGACCAAACAGTACAATAATATATTATGTCATAATGTAATAATAATAATAGTAGTTCTGTTAGTAAAGATTATCACTTTTACTTTTGAAGCGGGGATTTCATATAACTGCCACTAAAAATCTTAAGTGAATTCACCTCTGAGCCTGTGAACTAGAGGAATTAAAACAAGGAGATCTCACTTTCTGAACACTTATGAATAATTTATTTGTCATCTGGGATTGCTTCAAATAACCAGAGGAGGGGGACAGCAAGGGGTTAGAGAAGAATTGGCATAAGTTGATAATTTTTGAAGTTAAAAGATGAATACACAAGAGTGAATTTTACTATTTTCTCTACATTAATATATACTTGAAATTTTTCATAAAAATGCAAGCAATGGGGGATAGGAATGAACCAACCAAACAAAATGAGATGATCTCTTGCATTTCTTCCTAAACTATCAATCCTATAGTGTTGTTGGATTGTCTTCTAATCCCTCATGCCTCCAACGTCATGGCTCTGTGCCCAAGTAATTCACTAGGTTCTGAAAAGCCAGCACTAATGAATCGTAATACATGTTAGAATTCCACAGTTACTAAAACAAATCAGAACGGTATGATTTCCATCACAGCTTTGGCAATTGTGTCTCTTCTCACTTCGTGGCTCTGGAAAACAAGAAGACTGCTCAGCTTGACTCCAAGGTAAGCTGATACCCAAAGTCTTCCTTAGGTTCCCGACTCGTATTGCATTCTGCACAGGCAGCATCAGCGGTAGAGAGAATGGAATCAGGCAGGAATGAATAGGTATATACAAATATTATACCTCCCACACTCACTGATCTGAAAAATGGCTCATGGACCAGGGACTTCATAATCTCATACTCCAAGTTGCCAGAAGAAATAGTTTCAATTGCTGCTTCCCTTTACGCGAAATCAGATGCAGGACAGGGTGGGAAATGAGTATTGGTGGGCAGAACTTGCCCATGTATGTCACGGGAAGAAAAGAGAGGATTTCCCCGGACTTTTTGTCGTTTGTTCATTTCTTATCCCTAGCATCTGTGATACCACCTGTCCCATAGTGGATACTGATTAAATATTTGTTGAACAAGGAGGAATGGACTTTACATTAAATTCTGGTCATTACCAGATAATTGGATTAAATGTTTCTTACAGCAGGAATGTGCCTTTATTCGTTTTTGTGTCCCCACTCCCGAGCACAGTTCCAGACTGAAAAATGTGTGTTGAACTACATTTCAAGGACTAAAACCTCTGGTGAGAACTACAAATGCATATGCAAAATTATGGATGAATATTCAAGAAGAGGAGCCAAAACACAATAAAGTGCATCCTAGATGGCTGTACTTATGTAAAGTACAAAAACTAATCTATGTTGCTAGAATCGGGAGAGTGGTTACCCTTGGAGGCAAGGAGTAATTGGAAGAGAACATGAGGGGCCTCTTTTGGGGTAACGAGACTATTGAGTTTCTTGTGACCAACTGGGTGCTGGTTACAAGGGTAATGACTTTATAAAAAGTCTTTGAGATGTACATTTATAACGTGCCCTTTTTCTTTATGTATATTATACTTCAATTTAAAAGTTTATTATAAAATCTAAAAAAAAAAACAAAAAACCACCCTCTGGCTAAGATAATAATGAATACCATAATCTCTCAATGCTAAATTCAATTGTAGTTTCTATGGAAAGAGGTATAAAATTATACATACGTTCTAAAGATAGTTGAGTGGGCAATCCATTTTATTATCCTACGTGTACTTGAAAAGACTCCTACATCATATTCTATACAGAGGATGAAACTCTGACCCTTAATTTATGTGGATTCCTGTAAATATGTTAGATTTTATTATTGTAATTTGTTATCGAACTGGACATGTTAAAGCATTCCACAGTCTCTGTTAAGGGAAACTGTGCCCACCCCACACCAGCAACGCAGAAAACAGAACTGGGGCAGACCAGGGTGGCCGTGTTCTACATTACACAACCTCTGTCCCTTTCCACAGAGAAGCCAGTCTCCAAATCAAGCAGCATCCCATGGCCCAAGTAGCCTGGTTTAAAAAGGTGAGTTGGGGCTGGGCGAGGTGGCTCTTGCCTGTAATCCCAGCACTTTGGGAGGCCGAGGCAGGTGGATCACCTGAGGTCAGGAGTTCGAGACCAGCCTGACCAACATGGAGAAACCCCATCTCTACTAAAAATACAAAATTAGCCGGGCATGGTGGCAGGTGCCTGTAATCCCAGCTACTTGGGAGGCTGAGGCAGGAGAATCGCTTGAACCCAGGAGGCGAAAGTTGTGGTGAGCTGAGATCGCACCATTGCAGTCCAGCCTGGGCAACAAGAATGATACTCCATCTCAAAAAAAAAAGAAAAGAAAAGGTGAGTTGGGCTAAGACAAGATCCTTCTTGGGGATCTGGAATTGGCAGACTAAGAAATGGAGCCAGCTGGTAGAGAAGCCAAAAATTAAAGGATCCCTTAGGGTTGAGTTGGATCTATGGCAGGTAAAATTGTGTGCAAAGAATGTTTAGGAGAATGCAGAATTGTGCAGGAGGCCTCACCAAGGGGAATGTTTTGAAGCCTGGTGCAGGAGAGATACCTAGATCTGTGTTGGAACCTGAGCCAAAGCTTCTGAATCCTGCTTGCTCTTGGAATCACCTGGACAGCTTTAACAATAAGGATACTTGGTTCCCACTCTCAGGGATTCTGGGTAAATTCTAAACCTGGGGTGTCACCTGAGTTATTAAGAAACTCCCCAGGTTACTCATGCAGCCAGGGTTGTACCTGGTAAGCTTCCCAGGTCAATCAAAACACTGCCCCCTTTAACTGTGGTGACCCAGGGGCCTCTGCTCCTTGCAGCAAGTCTCCTGAGCCGTTGCTGTGGGCTTGGAGGAGCCGTGGCCTTTCCTGTTCCTGTAACTATGTGTGGCCAAGAGTCTGCAATAATATGAGTTGGAAGTGACAACTATCTTCACAACAGCAGCATCGCAGAGGGGTTTGTGAAACACACATACTGTCTAAATGGTCTCTTTACTCTGGGCCACAGATCAGAGATCTGGACCCTGCAGGACTGCCAAGCAGCCAGCCTGTGGGTTTGTGCAGAGGTGGTGCGGAATTTGCCCTCTGCCCCAGTTCCATGGGAACATTGAGGTTTCTCCTCTTTCTTTAGGGAGGCATTTTCCTAAGAAGCCAAGCATTTCCCCCTGGAATTTTGGTGGAGGTGGACAGAGGGATGTACCTGATCTGTCTATACCTTCCCCCAAGGAAGGACTGTGCACTTATTAATTTGGTTAAGAAAAGGGGCTGTGGGAGGCGAGGAGAGGATATTTTCTTCTGCAACCAAGGGAGTCCATGTTTCCTTACCAAGAGGGAGATTTAAAAAATCATTTATATGAACTATGAATTCCAGGCAGGTACTAGCTCATTCTTTGAATAATGATCTTTGCCTTCATAATAGCCTACATGTCATAGGCTCCTGCCTGGATTATCTTATTTTGTCTTTAGAGCAACTCTGTGAAAGTGGTAAAGCAGATAAGATCTATTTGGCAGAAGAGGAAACGGGGGCACGGAAGGCTTCTAAACACTTTCCTTAAGGTCACAAGGCCCAAGACCCCTGGTTCAGTACTCTTTTCCACACACTGGGTGGCCTCTCAGTGCTGGTCCCAGGTCACATTATGACATAATGTCCATGTTCAGGCGAGCAGCCATAATAACGCCACTCAGCTCATATGGATTTAAGAAATGTAATTAAACAATAATGCCTTTCTTAGAGGAATTAATTAATCAGCATAAGCAGTCTTACAGTCACATCCAGATCATATCAATCTGTTTTTTTCAAGTAGGAAGTTTTAAAATTTTGAATACACTTTTTGAAGTTTTTCTGTTGTTGTTTTTTTTTTTTTTTTTTTTTTTTTTTTTTTTTTTTTTTTGTTGTTGTTGTTGTTGTTGTTGTTGTTGTTGACAAGATCTCACTCTGTCACCCAGGCTGGAGTGCGGTGGCGTGATCTCAGCTCACCGCAACCTCCACCTCCCGGGCTCCAGCAATCCTCCTATCTCAGCTTCCCAAGTAGCTGGGACCACAGGTGCACAAAACCAAGCCTTGCTAATTTTTATATTTTTTTTTGTAGAGGCGGGGTTTCACCATGTTGCCCAGGCTAGTCTTGAACTCCTGGGCTCAAGTGGTCCACCTGTCTTGGCCTCCCAAAGTGCTGAGATTACAGGCATGAGCTACCATACCCAGTCTTGAATACACTTTGGTGAATTCTGTTTA